ACAATTCCAATAAGGTGAGGGCGAGGCTGTTTTGAGTATCATATTTCGGGCGACCCTCGGGTGTTTTGTTTCACCTACACCGAAAGCCTTGAGCAGGCAGATCTTATATTAGCCGAGTCCCATCTGAGAAGCTCTAACCAAAGAGATTTTTACATCTCGAGTCTTTCGTGCAGGTTTAAGTCTCATGAGTTGATTCAGTACTCCTAGATTTCGGTCTCCATTCTGTTGAAGAGTACCTGCACCTGTACACCATCCTTGAAGGACCTCTCCCATGTCGCTCGGAGAGGTCCTTCGAGGAAGGTATATGCCGCCCCATCAGGTGCAGGTACTCCTCAACAGAATGGCGACCGAAATCAAGGAGGACATGAACCAACTCCTGAGAGGTAGCGAAGCAAGCTCGAATCGAGGCTCGAGTCAACAACCTCATCCTTGAGTCCGAAACCCAAACCAAGGAGGCCCTCGAGGCTGAAGTCAAGGACCTCAAGGACCACGAATCCGCCGATGGGATAAATGAATAAAACCACAGCTTTGTGTTTTTATTTATTCATTTATTCACATCATGACAGTTTTGTATACATAAAGTGAATTAAACAAACAAACAGATGAAGTAAATTATGTGTATTGATGTACGTATTTACAATTTTATCAGGCTGTGCTTTTTTTTGGTTGATTTTCCTATGAGATTCATCTTTTTGAGGTTTTGTTAGCTCATCTTTCTTGTTTCTTTTTTTTTCGCATTGCTGTTAACGAAACAAAGAAAAATGAAATCGCTGTATATACGTAGTGATGGGATGGACTGGTTCAGTTTCGGCTATTCTGGAAAGCATAAGCCCAGGAAATTGTATGTTTTCGAAGAAGGAAAAGATGGAGATCTACTGAGACAATTTGATAAAGCAGAGATTCTATACTTCTTTTGTTGAATGGTGGTGCAGTAGTTGGATATGTTGCTGCTATTTTTCAATGATAATCCGGAGGTCGTTCGGTCGATGTTGATCTTCTCAGCGGTCGGTGCTCGTTATCGTTCCCACCGAACTGATCTTTAGATTTATGGAGATCTTCTCCATCATCATCATCTTCACCGATATCGAACTGGAAGGATTGAGATGAGAGGTCAGTTAAAAATAATCTATTTCAAAAAAACCTGAGATTGAGTGTGAGAGAAAGGTGACATTTACTACAACGGTCTCATCCCCAACCCTGCGTAGCTGCAGGGGCACGGCATCTCGTCCATCACCCTGTGGTACCCACTCCTTCCCGCCATCGTCCTCATCCCCAAGAGCGCCATCCCTTTCAGGCGCCTGGTCATCATACTCGTCGGCTGCCTCTTCGTCCTGGGCCAGCTCGTCACTCATGGCTAGGTATCTATTTCGCTCGGTCGGCCGCCACAGGAAGGCGATCGACACGAAACATACCATGTATAACAACGACAGCCAACCGTCCAACAGGAACCATCGCGTCCGCCATGTGTCTGGCGCGAAGTCTTGCTGTAGTCGATTCGAGAATGAAACCGATGATACAAAAAAGAATATCACAATCACTATGGCGGCCCCGATCAGGATCCGGTGTAATCTGACAAACACTGTTGAAAAAAAAAATATCAATCAGCATAATACTTGCATAATATACCAAGCGCAGTCGGTTTCTTACTCTGAGTCTTGAATGTTTGTTTACGCGATTCCAAGTCCTGGATAGCTGGGGAGTTAGGGAAAACAGATCGACGGAGTTAGAATATTTATTTGTCATGAGTTTAGCTTTTCTCAAAAATGCTAGCTTACTGTGAGCAAGAGCGGCCATGATCCACATCATGAATCCGGTCAAAGTAAATGCTAAAGGGAAAACCATGAAGAATATCCACAATCCAGCGGTTTCGAAAGGGAAAATAGCCATGCCGATCGCATACCTTTCAATCGCAAAAATCCCCGGTTTGAGAAAAAGAAAAGAAAAGCGATTGAGCTGATGTGGCTTCAAAGGAAGGACAAACACTTTGCTTACACCACACCAAAGATAAAATGGGCAATAGCCAGGAGTCTAACCCTCAACATGACCGATCCTAAGGAGTCTTTGACGATACTGTAGCCCAAAGAGACGATCAACAACATGAAAAATGACAATGCGTTTCTTGCGGCACTAAGAATTGAAACTAAAAGCAATTGAGAGTCGTATCATATCAGCATGATCGGGGGTGTGCGTGAAACTCTGCGATCTCTCTCTCTCTCTCTCTACTTGACAAAAGTTGACGTACCTAGGACGAGCAATGCCCGAGTCATCGACGGATTTCCAAAGTCGTTAAGATATTTGTAATATCCAAACACGGTCGTTAATTCGACGATCAGGAACAAGATACTTCCAGAGATATAATGCTTGAAATAGACAGGACAGACATGACCGATCAGATGTAATTAGATGTCGGGACTTCGATCTGGAAGAATCAGGAGAGAGTATCCTGTGTAAACTTACTTGAACAGGTAGGATTTCGGTCCGATGTCGATAACAGTTATAGCCCCATAGGATTCCGACCATGACATAGATTATCGTCACAAATCCGTAGAACTAATCCGCCAGAAAAATAAATTTCAGAAAAATCACGATTGTGAATCTTGGAAACTGAGCAGAAAACCACAATATACTCGAGAGCTTACAGCTACTTTTGGGTATTCACCAGCAGGCAAGTTGCCTTTGAATACATTTTCGAACGCCACCACACCAGTGTAGGTACTGTACGTGGTATTTGAAGTGGTTGGGAGACCGACGGTAAGGGGGACGGCTCCTACACAGTCTATATTGATGAGGATGAGTGACGATGGAAGTGAAGTAGTGAATACAAAAGAATGAAAGAAAATCCTGCTGACGGGGTCGATCAACTCACAATAACCAGTCTTGGTGACATTGTATCGGTACGGCCCCGAGCCCATCTGTTTACCGGTATCCGGTGATAAGTCGCCCGGGTTAGGTTTGGCTTCCAGCTTGACTCGTTGGGTCCAAATGTTCAACGACTCTCGTGTGACCCCAGATGGTAGCGGTGAGATGATGAATTCTCCGAGTTCCGCCTTCGTACAGAGGGATTGTGCTATCGCATCTAATGTGCAAACATACACTCTCTGAAAGATTACGAAACAGAACAAATTGAGTGGTCAAGAACTGAAAATGGCAAAGTCAGAATACGAACATCCTCCTGCCATGAGTTTTCTGCTTGTTTATTGGAAGGGTTAATTCCTAGCCACTTTGCGTCCTGCCATTCATAGACCACCAGAGCCAGTTGGCCAGAAGAAGCCGGTCCAAAGATAACTAACAAATCCAACCACCGAAGCAAAAAACCGACACGTTAGAGTTCATTTCTTTGGTTGATAGATTGGTCCAGGAAGATCGATTTTTGTATTTACTTTCGATGTATGGATCTCTAGATTTGGCGAATTTCTGCCACATTCCGGAGCAGACTACAGGTCATTGGTTAAGGAGAGTATGCCCGATTTATTTGAGGTTGATATATGAAATCACGACAAGGAGAAGCATTTATGAATCAGTCAAGGGGGCTTCCATCAAGTTATAGCAATTTCGAGCCTTTCCACGACTATTGAGAACACTCACCTTGCCTGAGATCATCCTATCAAGGGGTTTTCGAACAATGATGACACAAGATTGTCAGGAACCAGGGGCGTACACAGAGGTGTTGTTTTTTCATCCAAAGAGAGTAAGTAAGACATACAGTATCCGAGATCAAGACTTGGTAGGCATTTGAGAGGCTGATCGATGACCACAGGAGGAGAATGAATAATGGGAGGCTTGAGGTAGTTTTCATTGTGATTAGTTCGGTTTGAGCTCGATTTTTTTACATCCGAATGGTCCCAGTCTCGAGATAGTAATACGCAGCTCCTCGATTCAAATTGTTTTGTTTTGTTTTTGTGTGTTTGATTGGTTGGTTGCTGTTGGTTGTTGGCTGTTGACCGTTGGTTGTGGTTGAGTCGGTCGTCACTGTCCCCAGACTCACAGCAGTATGTCAGCAACCACAAAACAATAAGACTGACAACTCCCTGGCAAGCTCAACTGGTAACCATCAACCAAAACATCAACTCTACATCTACAGTTGGATACAGATTGTATTCAGGATCAGACAAATTCAATCAACATATTTAGTTTGCTTCATGATTTAAAGAACACTGACAAACCATACTTATGGAACAACCCAGTCCGACTCCCACCATGCACACACATCCTCAACAACTCAATCCTTTTTCTCAATTTTCCTTCATCATTGATTCTTCGGAGACCAGAGAAGGAAGAATCTACCACAGAATCCTGACTCTGATGAAACCAAAAAAACTGAGTCAAGCCAAAAACCAAAATACCAAAAACTTTTAACCATTTGCATCTACCACTTTTTCACCATACAAATAGACTGACAAACTTCCATCAAGCCTGGCTGGGCTGAATTCATCTGCAACCCATTTCAAGCAAACTCGCGCAATCCAGTCAGTTTTTGAAAGTAATTTAGCCCATCCAGTTTTTCTGACAGTGTCACAATACAACACATATATTATGTCTCTTGACCTTGTTAATTTGCTGAAATAAGTCAAAAGCCCCAATATGTGTGCCACAATTTGCTTATAATCCCACCTATGCTCAACAAGACCCTACCAAAATTCAAAATAATGTAACTGCCCACCAAAAAGTGACAACAACTTCCAACTTGAACTGTGGGTGGAACATGCCCCACAAGAGAAATGAATCAGAGGGCCAGAAAGCTCAAGAAAGGACCAGTGGTTACAACTACGGTAACAATAAAATTCCCTGTGAACAGCCACTTAAGATCTTTCTGCATAAGATGGGAAATTGTTGGGAGTGGATGTAGAGATCTTCATAATGACCATTGAGTGAACAAATCGAAACAGGAAAAAAGACATCATGACATCCTATTCTGGAAGGATCTCAGAATAACCACACCTTGAGTTCAAAAATGGGTTTGCCCAAAGGCTCAGCGGCAACTGCTGTTGCATGATTGGTCAATGTGATTGGGGTGTGGTTTAATTTTCATTTTTTTTGGTAGGATTGGTTTATTATCTGTGTTTTTTTCTGCATGTTTTTGTTTTACTTGTTTTTTTCATTTTTTTTTTATTTTCCTATTTTTTTCACAATTTTTCATTTTTTTTTGCGCAGCCAAGTTTATTTTTGATTTGAAGGACACCATTGGCCACACGGATCGCCCCTTGCGCGGCAACCTTCACAAACTCCTCTGATGAGGTTGATACCGAAAACGCTGTCGCCATCGGGAGGCATCTGGGGTTCAGACAAAGAGGTGACTGAATCTGCCTCTAGCGCCGCGATAGTTTTCTGATCCATGGTAGACATGCCGACTGAGACGGGAACCAGCGCAGCCACCATGAGGATCATACGCAATACAAGACAGTTCATGTTGCGTCGATTGTCAGGGTTTTGAACACGTTTGGAGCAAGATTCGAACACGGTCAGTGGGCCGAAAGAAAGCTGGAATCCTACAACAATGTTGACTACTTGCTGTTAAAGCTATGGTGGGGACATTTGGAGGAGGCAAAATTGACTATATGTGCAGTGTTGCGGTCTGTGACATAAACTGCATATAGCTGTACCCCCACATGCAGAAGGGTGTTGTATTATTTCTGCCAAATATATCACATTGGTCAATGGATTCTTGCCCCACCTTGCTAGTGTTGAATTTTTCGATCCCTACTCTCATTCTGAATATGCAATGTCAATTCTCACTCGCATCTGAAATCTCACATCCGAATCTCATCAAACCAAACCTAACCGACCCGTCCCCCTCCTCATTAAAAACTTTCTCGACCACGCCGATACCAGTCTTTTTCTTCACACGCTTATTCAAGTAAAAAGTGGAGAAAGAGACTGGTAAGCCCCTTTTCCTTTCCAATTCGCCAAAACCCAACAAACAAACAGTTAAACTGAATCTAATTCTCTTTCTTTATTCATTCCCTTTTTCTCTTCATGTGATTTCCAGACTTAGTCCTCCGTCATTATCATTGATTAAACAAAAAACAAAACTCACTGCACATTCGCAGGTATGACCTTGTCTTTCTTATTTCTATTCAATCTCATTCAATCTTACTGTTGTTCTTTTTCATCTAACCGATCTCATTTACTTTTTCTTTTTCATCTACCTCTTTCTTGAATATTGTTCAGGTGTGTCGGGAAAGCCCAGAGTCAGAAGTCGTCGTTGTCGAGTTACTTATCGGTTATTATATTTATCCATAAAGGTTCGCTAGACACATAACTTGTTTTCTTTCATTCTTCATTTCTTTCTTTTATGATAAATAATGATACACGCTTATTCAAGTAAAAAGTGGAGAAAGAGACTGACTTAGTCCTACGCGTGTCCTCCGTCATTATCATTGATTAAACAAAAAACAAAACTCACTGCACATTCGCAGGTGTGTCGGGAAAGCCCAGAGTCAGAAGTCGTCGTTGTCGAGTTACTTATCGGTTATTATATTTATCCATAAAGGTGTGTCGGGAAAGCCCAGAGTCAGAAGTCGTCGTTGTCGAGTTACTTATCGGTTATTATATTTATCCATAAAGGTCACTTCGGATTGTTTCAATTATCACATGGTAGCGAGAGATCAAAATGTCCGAACGATCCAGATCCATTCCTACACAAATCCGAAACGCACAGAAGACTGCCGCCAAGAATGCAGCCAATCGCGGAGGACTTGTCGGGGGTTGATAAGCGCACGCCAACCCCCATGGCGCACGCCAATCTGCACGCCATTGCAGAATGGCGTGCAGGCAGGCACGCCACTCGCCTGCACGGGGTATACCCTGCAGGCTGGCGTGCCTGCCTGCACGCCCAATATTTGGTCCTAAACGCATATTTATATGCGTTTAGGACCTGGGCTGTCCCATAGGACCCAGGCATGGGTCCTATGGGATGGCCCCGCCATTGTTTTTTTTTTTTTCTTTTTTCTTTTTCTTTTTTTTTTTTCAAACCCCCTCGGCCTAGAGAGGCCGAGGTCACACCGCCGGGAGGAACCCCTCTCGGCGAGCTGGTACATCATCCAGCTTGTCGGGAGGGG